GAAAAGAAGTAAAAAGAAGTAAGGAAAAAGAGAGAAAGGTTATAAGGTAATTAGATATTAGCTCTTAATATTAATAGTAAAGTCAAAAAAATATAGAAAAAGAATAAAGGTTTTAGAATAAAAATAAAATAGAATTATAGTTTTATAGAAAATAAAGTTACTAGTATAGGGTAATTATATTATTATATAATTTCATATTTACTTTTATTATTTATTAAGGATATATATCTTTTAGGAAAAAGTATTATTTAGAATTCTTAAGTCTCTCTAATTTAATAATTATATATTTAAAAAATAAGAAATAAATATAATTATATATATTAGAATAAGAGAATTCTTCTTATTTAAAAATTATAATTATAGTATTACTAAATATAGAAATATAAAAGTTTATATAATAAGCTATATATAGAGATTTGAGAAGATTTAAATTATCTCGAATTATTTATAATTAGTAAAATAAATTAGCTAATTATATAAATCGAATATAATTTAATTATTATTAGTATATTTTAGCTTTTATAAGTTAGTAAAAAAAAAAATTTTTATATTTTTATTTTTATAATTATAATACCTAAAATTATAATTTTTTTAATATTTAAATATACTTAATCTAGGACTATTAAATACTAATATTTCTATTTTCAGATATTATTTATTATAAATTTATTCGGATTTAAATAATTATATTAAATATATATTTTTATATTCTAAAAATAAATAATAAAGATATAGTTATACTAGCTTTAATCTTAGCCTTAATCTTAATCTTAATCTTCTTCCGAAAATAACTTTAATTCTAATATATAATACTATTATTAAAGCTTTCCTTTATTAAAAATATATTAAATATAGCTTTAGGTAATAGCTTTAATAAAGGCAAAAATAGTAGAAAAAATAATAAAGCTATAAATAAGTAAAAAGATAATATTTATAATATATTTTCTAATAATTTAGATTTAATTTATAATATTTTTTCCTATTAATATATTTAATTAATAAATTCTTTTATTTCTTGATTTCCTCTTTCTTTTCTATAATAATACTTTAATTTCCTTATATTACCTAATAATGCTACTAAAATAGTAAAGCGAATTAATAATAAGACTAAAGTTAGAGAGATAGAGCTATACCAGGATAGAGAGCTAAAGGAATTAGAGAAAGATAAAGCAAATCTAGAGGCAAGCTTAGTATATACTTGCGGAACCGAATTCTCTTAAGCTTATACTACTTATAGTAATAAGAAGAGACTAAGGGGCCCTTTTAAATACTATATAGTTATAGAAGGTGAATTTAATAGTACTTATATAAATTATAAATATAATAATAATAGTAAAGTCTATATTTTCTATTAACTTAATACTAATCCTACCAAGTCTAGAAAGCCTTATTCCGTATCTGCAAAACCCTTTATACTAAAGCCTTAACTGCCTATAAGATATAGAAAGTAAGTATAAAGATAGATATAAGATTAGAAGGCAATAGGGAAGGAGGTTATAGTAGAGGAGGGTAAGGATACTAGAGGAGAAGGGGACGAAGGAGATATAAATAATTCGAGTAATATAGGCAGTATAGAGGATATAGAGAATAAGAAAGATGGAGATATATCTCGTAATCCATGGGATTTGCCTTACGGACCACGCAAGCTAAGGGGGGGTTAGGAGTAGTCGAGAATAAGGCGTATATACTGTACTTTTTTTTTTTAGTGAGGTGTGGTGGGGGGGGGGTGTGGGCGCGAAAATCAGAAAATCACTTTTCGCTTCTCGGATTTGTCCGCTAGCCCGCTAATGGCCTCAGTAACTTCAGGCGAGAATGCTGACAAACCCTGGCTTTGGAAGTCCACCACTCCACATCATCTATCACGGGGTAAACCCCATATCTCGTCGGAGGCAGAATTGTACCGTGTGTGTGGTACAAGACATTATTCTCTTCGCTTTCGGTCCCCAAGTGGAACAGCGATACTTTCGAAAGGCTTGACATAGCCGAGTTGAGATAGACAGGCGATCTTGTATCGAGATATTTATCCAATGAAAGTTTATGAAGCGCATTTATACGACGCCAATTGGACACGTATGCGTCAGATCTAAGAGGTGTTCTATCTGCAGGAACCATTCGCAGTCGGCAGGATCTTACGAGCGGTTCACGGAGAACATCAGACGACATATTGGATTCTGCATGGGCTAAGATCAAGCAGTTGAACAAGACGTTGAAGGATTACAAGCACTGCCAATATCCGAAAAATGGCAAGGTTCTCAAGCCACTTTCAACAAGTATTAAGTCTCGCTCGCGCTGAGCTTCTAGTTCGTAAACATTGTCCAACGAATTGTCGTTGGCCTACATGGGGTTTTGGCTTATAAGCCCTACCCTAGTTTAATTAGGGCTGCTTAATAAGTACCTTACTTATTTAATAATTATTAAGTAAAAGTTAATTTATTATAGTCACGTGACAGATTAATTAGATTAATTATTCTAATCTAATCAAAAAAATCCGAATTACGTTAATTATATTCTAATCTAATCATGATTAATGTAATTAGTTCTTTGACACACTGGTTGAAAGAGACGTAGCCGATCTAGGCCTTGGTGTAAGGATATGCTCGCATATCTTCTAGGCTCAGCTTCGAGCTGTCAAGTAAAGTCGGGATACGTAGTCGTGAGAGACTTCAGCTCTCAGCTTGTTCGAGGTGGAGGCCTTGTAGCCAGCGACAGGCTTTAGTGTACAGAGAAGGGTTCACAAGCTTTCTCAACACGATACTGAGCAGCGGCTGCACCACGATCTGGCGCGCTACAATTTAGCGCACTACGATTTTAGCGATGGCGTATGAGGCGAATGAGTAGGTGATTGAGGCTGTGGCGCTACTTGGCAGGTGATCAAGATCGAACCATGGAAATTTCTTTTAAGCCATCTTAGTCGTGCAATTTCGGAGGACGTACTTTCTTACCTATTATGATTGTGGTGAGAACTGAAGAATGGAAAGTGTTGATGAAAGGTATGTAGAAGTCTGGAGAGTACTGAAGGTATCTTCAAAAGTCAATGCTATTGACCTCACAATAGCCTGTCCAGAACAGACGGTCTACTTGTATAGCGTTGACTTGCGTCTGGCTATCGACTCATTGAAGAGGGGACTGCATGAGCAAGAAATCGCGAGGGGTTTTGATCAGGATTTGGCACAGTCAACATTTGAGTCTGCGGACAATGCTTTGCTTCAGTTGATGCAGAAATAGGCAGAACAAGTAGGCTCAAGCATTGTAGTGAAATTCATTTGAATTTAGCTGATAGCGATCATTGAGTAAACCAGGCGACAGACTTCGTCGGAACTGGGCGGCGTTGGCGCTGTCTGTGGAAGTTAGGCATGTCTTCATGGCCATCTTTACGGCCCGCTACAGCCTAGCTCCGAGAGCAGAAGGCGGGGACGAATGAGTGAAACGGCGTATAGAAGGAGGGACGGTCTGTGTTATCTCCTTCGGCATAAGCACTAACTTGCAAGATCTCCTTGTATGGAGCCGAATCCAGCAGGCCATGGAATGATAAGGACAGAAGAAGAGAAGCGAAGAAGATCAGATGGAGACGATGTAGAAAGGTCATAGCTTAGTAGTAGTGTGCAAGATAAGGCATATTGCTTCTAACAAACTTTGCGCTCCAAATTCCCTATAGCCGTCGACGCTTCCTCGATGCGGTACCACCAAGCTTCGTAGGTAGCGTACTTGAATCGCCCCCGAGGTGCGGGAGGGCAGCGCACCAGAGATCTCTTTCCACGAACAGCCATCCTCATCTCTCATCCTCACCAAAGTCTCGTCCTCTTCTTTGGTCCATGGAATGCGTTCCGTTGGATGCCTCGATTTGATGTGGCAGGCCTTGGAATGTGCGACAACGCTGTGAGAAGTTCGACACTGAGACTTTTGTCGCGCCTCCTTGCTTGAGCGGATTCCAAAAGTTTTCGGGACTGATTGGCAGGCACCCCTGAATCCTGCGAGCCTCGCATCACGTGAAAACCACCCCCCCCCCCTATTAACAGTTGGTACTTTTTTGAAACTAGGCTCGGTGCCTACAGTCCGTCTTCTTAGTCGAAAGTTCGTTGAGCAATTGAGCTGTGGTTGCAGAAAAGCAAGGCCGAGGTTGGCAGGGTATAAGAGGGGAAGCGCCATGTCGGACTGTGCCGGTTTCCTGCATGGGTTAGTCTCTCTGCCTGGAAGCGTCCCTCTCCAACTGCTATCTGTCAATCGGACGTCGGTATTCTTCCAATGTCAGGTTCTACCGGTAGTTCTGCTATAAGTGGTTCTCGTGCCTAGAGCTCCCTTTCCGTGTTTAGCGTTAAGCAGGGGGGGGGGGGGGGGAACTAGGGTAGGGGCATCCCTGAGAACTACCCCACCAACCATTTACCTCGTTATTGGAAGAGCAAAAGGTTGGAGCATCGGAAATATTGTTTGAATATCAAAGCTTGTGTTCCACTGAGGCATATGATATGGTGGTAAGCCTCGACTCGCCGAGGGTTTATAGATCGATGACTTGCAGTGCCGATCTCGAGTTCTGCAAAGGGGTTTTGCGGGGTGCAGTTGCGGGGCAGGTACGGTAGCTTCACAAACCAGCTCATCTTGCAGCGCTCATGCGGGGTGCATGATGCATAATGCAGCTTCAGGTCTTTCAACACAAGGTAGGCAGTATCCTTCTTCAAGTCGCCGAGGTATTTTGGCAGTTGCTGCCAAGAAATTTGTTTTCTCACCAAACAGCTATCGTAGCATCTCGTCGGAAGAACATTGGCAGGGCTTCCTGAGATTCTGGTAAAGATGTAATTCTGTTTGGGCAAGCGAAAGAAAGGAGGGGATAAGAACATGCCTCGGCTTCGAGTGCTAAGATTTTTCTATATATACGACGATAATATCCTGAAGATGAGAGGGTTGAGTAGAGCAGAAGTCTACTGAGCCATTGAGCAGATTGCCTCACCTGACCGCACTTGATCTCAAGCAAGCTGTTGCAAACCATTTATTTCTCAACTGCAAAAATGAAATTCCAATCTACGGCCATTGCGGTACTCCTCTACTCTATCGCAGCGACTCCGGTTCTCAGCAACCCTATTCAAGATGTCAGTCGCCTCGAAGCACGACAAAGCGCAACTTCCGATGAGCTGAAAAATGGGGCGTGCAAAGAAGTGTTTTTCATATTTGCGCGTGGCTCAACCGAAACAGGGAACATGGTGAGCCTTGCAATGTAGAATTCAGTGCCTCTGAAACTAACCTAGGCAGGGAACCGTGGTTGGTCCTCAAGTATGTTCGGACCTAAAATCTGCCCTCGGCGATAGCGTAGTTGGATGCCAGGGAGTGGGCTCCCCATACGAGGCAACTCTGGCAGATAACTTCTTGCCTCAAAATACTAGCCCAACGGATATCGGGGCTGCCACCACACTCTTCGACTTGGCTGACTCCAAATGTCCAAATTCTAAGATTGTAGCCGGCGGGTACAGGTGAGTAATTCAACTTGTGAACATTAGATAATAATGAGTCTAACGCTCTTGAACTTCTAGTCAAGGAAGCGCCGTCATGGACGGCTCCATCCAGGCACTTCCCGCCTCAATCCAAAACAAGATCTCTAGAGTCGTTCTGTTTGGGTTCACGCGCAACCAGCAAGATGGTGGCGAAATCCCGAATTACCCTGCAAGTAAAACCAAGGTCTTCTGCGCGGTTGGTGACCTTGTTTGCGATGGCACGTTGATAATCACTGCGGCTCACCTAACTTACGGGGCAAATGCCCCCGCAGCTGCGAGTTTCCTTGTCCAGCAGCTTGGCTTGTAAGGTCAAAGTCTTATGCATTGTTGTTGAAGAACGATTAGGTAGTTTCAAGTGGTACTTGGCAGAATTCTGTGATGTAGGGTTTGGAAAAGGGTCGCGCTGGTTCGCACCGTACGCTCGTTACCGAGACCAACAAAATTCATGGTTGCAACCAAAGATCAGACCAGCGTGAAAAGTAGAATTCAATGCCCCCAACGGCTGTGGCAGTGATAAAGTCCTCCAATCCTTGAACAGTGGCGCTTCTGCATAACACGCACGACCGAGCCAAGTTGTTTCAGACTGGTTGAGACGGTCATCCACCTGCTCACATTATCGACCAATCGCACAAACGCCGAGGCTTTCATGGCAGCGGATGCAACACTGCCAAGTATGTCCGCTGTATCCAAATCATGGCAGAGGCGTTGACAAAGTCCTAGTGATGAGAACAAAGTGGGGGTGAAAATCTACAAGGCAGATCGCTGGATTCTTCAGAATACATCTCTCGCATAACAGAATCCTGAAAATTGCTCAAACTCACGGTCTCTACTCAGCAGGAGACTTTTGGATTCAAATATAAGTAAATGAAGGAGGGGAAAGGTACCTTGGCATTAGACCGGGTGGTGGCGGTGGTGCAATTTAAGTGCTCATAGATCCTATCCACTTAGCTTTGAGTCGTTACCTCGCTTATTTCAATGACAACACTCACAAATTTAGTGTACTGAATTTGCATAATATTGAATCTACTGAAATAAATGCATAGATTCCCTTCAGAGTATTTAGGTAACATAGAAACACGGCCCGAAAAACCATCGGGAGGCTATTATGGTGAAGTGTTGAGAGTGAAATAAGCGAGGGAAGTGAACATGAGATTAACAATTGCCTTCTTGAGATCACCAGCTTTCTCTATCCTCCAAATTTATCCTTCTACCGTAAAGCTCTGGATGCACTCTACCATGACTCTTTTGTCTAGAACTCATCAACGACCTCTGAGACCTCTCCCAGGGAGCTGTCCCCCAGGGAGCTGCCCTAAGGAGCTCTTCATATATCGCAGTGAGTTATCCCCCAAGGAGCTCTTTACGTATCGCATACAAAGAGCTCCCTGGAGGGCAGATCTTGAGGGGAGAGCAGCTTCTGGGGGGGCAGCTCACTGCGATACGTAAAGAACTCCCTATAAATAGTAAGCACGAGTCTAAGTATAATTTTAGTGCAATTCCAAGCCTAAAGATTTTAAGTAGCATGCGATTTGTAGCTTCGAATTTCATAGTCTTGGTGTTCTGGTGCTCAAGTGCTCGAGTGCTCGAGTGTTTTGACCCTTTACCGCCTAAAGTTCTGCCCTAACCTTCATTGACTATTCGCGAAAAGAATTCCAAATCTCTTCCTTCCCACCAAGTCGTCATCACAACATCCGCCAACACCATGGCAGAGTTAAGACCTCCTGGAGAGACAGAGCTCCCAACCAGAGAGAAAGACGCAGAGAGCATGCATGAGATTGAGGCGGGCACCTCCGTTGAAGGAGGTTCCAACTCAGAGGTGGTTAATCAGGAGCAGCGCAAAGCAGCGGCTGTGTCAACGAAGAGATCAGAGAAGAATTGCCGCCCAGCGACAGCTCTTCGAACGAGTGCCACTCCACTTCTTTCATTCATTTCTGTGCTGGAGAATCCAGAAGCAAACTTCAACTCCAGTCGCCGTTCAATCTAGCCAGTACCGCCTGCAGACTACGCAATTCACTGCCCACCTGCGGACGAGTCTGCCAGTCCCAGCCTTTGACGGCAATGTCATCAATGCTACCCGCAATCTCGCATTCCTCGGAAACTTGGTTAGCATCCTCAGAATAGCCCCTTGCGTGTCTGATGTAGGCTGTGCCATTTCTTAGTCAGCTCCTTGCTTGCAATTCTAGTGGCTCGCTTCTGGATTGCCCCTGAATGCTCGTATCTTTTCTTCCTCTGCACGTGATCGAGTCCTTTGGATCCTCGCACAACGATACAAGGAGAGTGGAGGATTTCCTCCCTGTAAACGAATCATGCTCAGTTATAAAAATTATAAAAGCGCTACAATCATGCTGTTTCCAAGCATTGTCTTCACTGTTCTACTCAGTCATTCAACATTTCTATTCCTGTTTCCACTGTGTTCTCATTTCTTCATCAATTTTTTGACCCGTCTCAAACCGTAACAAGATATATTACTTTCCAGCAGCAAAATATGGCATTAGTATTATTCTTCTCCTTGTTATCTCTCGCAGTGGACACGACCATCGCGAGTAACGCTACCACTCCTGCGGCAGTTTTTCTGGAGATTTCGCCTTCTACAAACTTAACCTGGCATCCGTGTCTCGGAAGGTTCGAATGTGCGGTTCTAGATGTAAATGGAACCCCTATACAGTGAGAACTCGAGATTGACCAACCCAATTGTTTAGGTTCCTCTTGACTACAGCAACCTGTCTGGCCCAAGAGCATTCGTTCCCTTGGTCAGGACATCCGCAACCACAACCCCATACAAAGGCATGGTCTTGACCAACCCTGGAGGACCCGGAGAGTCTGCTATCGACGACTTCATCAACAGCGGTGTCTACGAAGCTTCTATCGTCGGCTCGAATTATGATTATGTTGCGTTTGAACCTCGAGGGCTCGGATACAGTATTCCAGCCACGAACTGCTCCTCTTCCCTCCCCCCAATACCTGGCATTGAAAAACGCTCCACAAGTCGAAGATCAAGTCAATCTGCCCGTTTGACAGGCCCGTTTCTAGGCAGCACATTCTTCAACGATGACTACGAAGGTTCGATTGAAGTAGGACAGGCCTGTCAAACACTGACGGGTGGGCCGAATGATGCGGGACCACACATGTCGACTTTATACCTCGTGCAAGATATGCTCAGCATCGTCGATGCATACGCCTCCAGTCCTCAGTCTCAAGGGCTCGAAAATGCTTCGCTGGTCAATTTTTGGGCTTTCAGTTACGGGACTTACGTCGCGCAGACATTTGCTTCCATACATCCAGATCGAGTGGGACGATTCGTGATGGATGGAGTCGTGGATCCGGATGACTACCGCTCCGGTGATCTGCTGAAGAACTTGCAATTCACTGACGAGGCTTTCTCTACCTATTTTGTTTACTGCCATCTTGCTGGCCCGACCGTATGCCCCTATGCTACAGGGACAAGCGCCTATGATATTTTCAGTCGTTTTGAACGGACGGTCAGGAGGCTCGATGTTACGGAAGCAGAGAAGCAGGGGTGGGCTAATGCAACCGTGATCTCGCTCTTGCTGGAGGGCTTGAAGCAATTTGCGCACAACGTTGCCTATGAGCCGATCAATGCATTCCCTGCTCTCGCTCCCGTCTTACTATTCATGGAAACCGCTTCACAGAATGCTACCGAAGCTACTGTTCAGCAATTCAAAAAGCTAACCGGGGGGAAAATCACGATTGCGCTTGGCTCGATAGAATGGACGAGAGCAGTGGCTTGTTCGGATATGGGCAATGTGTTGTTCAACCAGACTTTGGAGGACCTGTCGAATGTGGCGAAAATAATGGAGTCGCAGAGTTATGTCGGCGGGGAGTTCTGGGCTAGCTTGAGAGTTGCATGTTTGGGATGGGGAATTGGACGCGAGGGAACGTATATTGGTACGAACCTCCACTCCGGTGCTTCTGGGAATGTTTCCTGAGAATTTATAGGCACATTCGGCGGTGCAAGCAAGAATCAAATGCTCTTCGTAAGCAATACGATGGATCCTGCAACGCCGTACTACAAGTAGGTCTTCTCCCGTCTCTCCTCACCGCGCGGACTTCAGATTAAAACAAATCCAGCGGTGTCAAAGGCACCCAACTCTTCCCCGGATCCGAACTCCTCCTTATCGATGGCGTAGGCGTAAGTCTTTCTCTTTAGTTCTCTTCGCTCCAATTCTTCAATAACTTTGCGATTTGTTCATCCTCGGACTAAAATGAGTTGTGTAGCACACAACACTAGGACCCCTAAATAACTGTGGCAACGCAAAGATTAACGCTTTCTTTCAAAACGGCACCCTTCCTGGAGACGACAAATTCTGTGAGCTTGAGGCAGGACCTTTTAATATCACCATCAGTGACGGGATTCAGAACAGAAATGATTGGCAGGATCTGAAGGTTGGGATGAGAAGTTTGAAGCAGGGGAAAATCAGAAGCATCGTGTAGAATGTAAGCCAAATTAGGATCACATTCCAAGTATTAGAAGTATTAACAAGATATCTGCAAGTTTAATCTCAGGACTCTCATATAAAGAGGTTAAGACGGTCGCCTCGACCAAAGGAATTATTATACAGGGAATCGCTATGAACACGGTTAAAATAGTTAGTATAGACGGCGAATGGAGGGAATGGTTTTATTAAACAAGCCATAATCAGATGTCACATCACCTGTTCTCCCCCCTCAGAGTTCCACTTTACCACATTAGGTATGGCTCATTTGCAAGGCCTATAAATATTCTCTTTTGCACAGATTCATGTACTTTAAACTACTCAATACCACTTGATTTGGACCCTCCATTTTGGCTAGTCAAATTGATGCTTTTTACCCAGTGATTTAACTGACACCATAGTCAATTTTGAAAAATTGAGGAGAGTTGGATGAGGAATTAGTTTCTATGCCTATCTTTGAATAATTTTTCTTACTATCTGCTAAGCTAGAGCCAGAGCTAGAAGTAGCGCGGATGATTTGAGCGCAGGTTGCCGAGGTTTATATTGCTACAATGTGACGTGGTGATGTGATAGGCATGTCACGGGTCGGCAGTGCGGTAGAGAAGCTCCGCTTTCTCGAAATTCTTCTAATTTGCTTCAAAAGCTGCGCTCAATGAAGTTATCACGACAGCGACAGGCTACGCCGCCGAGGCTGGACACCACTAAAATGGCGACTTCTCGGGGCGATTCTCGGGCGGGAGGCTCTGGCGATATGTGCCTACAACGGGATCGGCCAGTCACCACCCAGGCAGAGTGGCCAGCGCCATACCCCGCCGCCGGGAGGGGTTTTCATCCCTGCAAGCATCAGCTATTACTGCCTACTCGTAGTAGGGATAGATAAACCCATGCCCTGTCTGGATCCACAGACGCCGCAGTAAGGGGTATGGGCGAATAAGATAGCTGGAATTCAAGGTTTTGTGGAGGCGAACCCACTAGAAACACGCTTCAGGGTAGGGGTTGGTTTATCCCAATCACCAAGTACAGCATTGCAGGACAAGTAAGCGATGGATGTACAGGCGACAAGGGACCGAAAAGCCGCGAGTCTGCCTTGCGCTCCTTGCGCTCCTTGCGCTCCTTACCCTCCTTGCACTTAACCCAGCAACCTTCCTATAATCTGTGCAACTGGCAAAACCCTTGAGTTCCACTTCTGTTATTGTCTAACCTTCACTCTTCTCGAGACCTGCCTCTCCTCCGCGCCGAATAGCCAGCCAGACCCTTCCTTTCAGCCTGTCCTGGGCAAGATGCTGGCAATCCCAACCGATTGGGACCTGAATTCAATCCATTCATCTTGACAGAACCCTTTGTTTTGCCCCAAGTCCTAGCTCGGTCGAAGCCCTTCCACAGCCTTTTGTTGCCGCTGGCCACGCGCTGCCGGTCCCTTGGCCTCTGGCTTCCCACGGCGACCGTCAAGCAACTTCGAAATGGACAATGCCAGCTCACTGCCCAGCGAGGCCGAGCAGGTTCGCAGGCACCAGGTCGAGAATGCCGTCCGCGCTATACAACAGAAGAAGCCACTCCCCGAGATCGACTTCACCATCCACACTATGGAAGATGGCACCCAGGTCAGCACCCAGGAGCGTGTCTGCAAAGGTATGAGGGCCTCCGCTGTCGTGCTTCACCCTCATTTCATTTCAAGCTCCCTATCCCCTTCCGCCCCCAACCCCAAGCATGCCTCGCGACCGACCGACCCAGCGCTGATGGGCTCTTGTTTTCGCAGACGTGCAAGCCCCTGCCTGGTTGACTCCCACCGACGAGACATTCTACCATGATGAGACGCGTGAGAAGCCCAACATCCTCTTCCTGAAGCAGCATTTCTACCGTGAGGGCCGCCTTACCGAGGAGCAGGCTCTTTTCATACTTGGGAAAGGCACCGAGCTGCTCCGCGCCGAACCTAACCTCCTGGAGGTGGATGCGCCCATCACCGTCTGCGGCGACATCCACGGTCAGTACTACGATCTCATGAAGCTCTTTGAAGTTGGTGGCGATCCAGCCGAGACAAGATACCTCTTCCTTGGTGACTACGTCGACCGCGGCTACTTCAGTGTCGAATGTGTTCTGTATCTCTGGTCGCTAAAGATACACTACCCCGACACCCTTTGGCTGCTGCGCGGAAACCACGAGTGTCGCCACTTGACCGAATACTTCACCTTCAAGCTAGAATGCAAACGCAAGTATTCTGAGGCCGTCTACGAAGCCTTCATGGAATCCTTCTGTGCTCTCCCGCTCGCCGCTCTAATGAACCAGCAGTTTTTGTGCGTCCACGGCGGGCTGAGCCCGGAAATGCATACTCTAGATGACCTCCGGGAGGTTAGTTGCCTTCTCTCTCTCTCTCCTCCACCCAATGCCCCGCGAGGGGGGCTGGGGCGTCGCTAATCTGTGTCGTAGATCGATCGTTTCCGCGAGCCACCCACCCATGGCTTGATGTGCGACCTACTCTGGGCTGATCCCCTGGAGGACTTTGGCCAGGAGAAAGCCTCTGAGTACTTCCTTCACAATAAAGTTCGTGGCTGCTCATATTTCTACTCGTACTCGGCCGCCTGCAACTTCCTGGAGAAGAACAACCTCCTCTCCATCATTCGGGCGCACGAGGCACAAGACGCAGGGTACCGCATGTACCGCAAGACTCGAACAACAGGCTTCCCCAGTGTAATAACCATCTTCTCAGCGCCCAACTACCTCGACATGTATAATAACAAGGCAGCCGTGCTGAAGTACGAGAACAACGTCATGAACATCCGGCAATTTAACTGCACGCCGCACCCCTTTTGGCTTACCAACTTTATGGATGTCTTTACGTGGTCCCTCCCCTTTGTCGGCGAGAAGTTCACAGACATGATGATTGCCATATTGGGCACAATCTCAGCAGAGGAGCTTCGGGAAGATTCCGAGCCCGCCTCGCCATGCCCCGTGTCCCCGGCCATGCCCTCCCCTGCCAGCCAAGATCCCGAGTCGATCGAGTTCAAGCGACGGACGATCAAGAATAAGATTCTTGCCATCGGCCGACTCTCACGCGTCTTTAACGTCCTGCGCGAGGAGTCGGAGAGAGTTACGGACCTCAAGACCGCTTTGGGTGGCCGCTTGCCCGCCGGAACTCTCATGCACGGCGCCGAGAGCATCAAGGATGCCATCAGAAGTTTTGAGGACGCCCGCAGGGTCGACATAATGAACGAGAGACTGCCTCCAAGCCACAACGAGGTGGTGCGACAGGCAGCCGACGAGCGTCAGCAAGCTCTGGACCGGGCGGTGCGGGAGGTTGACGGCGACAAGAAGCTGCAGACCCTCTCGAGGAAGTTGAGCACGTACGTTGTCGTTTCATTACTTTGTTTGCTTTGATACTCGGTACTCACTCCTATCTTCCGGCAGTGATCGAAAGTGATGGACAACGCAGGCAACTGTACAGGAACAGCAGCAGGCGGATATGGAAATGCCGGGCAGCATAGACCACGACATCGTATATCATGATATCTAGGGAAGGAAAATGGCACGGCCCATCTAGTGAAGAGTGGTTCTTAGACAAAATCAGGTGGTTGGAGCTGTAACTCTACATTATACGAGCTCTGTTTATTGGGTCCAAATACATGACAATTGGCCCATCAAATGTCGTATTGTCCTTTTCCGTCCGATGCTGCTGTGATACCCTCACGCTACAAGTGATTCCCGCACCTGTCTTCCCAAACATAAGTGGAACTACATTGGGTATATGTCAACGTTGGGCTTGGAGGCAATGGCGTGTCTGATTCTTCTAGGAGTAAGGGGTAAGCTAGACTGATATACTGGAATGCAAAATATGACGAAACTTGACCTAAGCAAGATAAGGCACATGATATGTGATCGTTTACAGTATCCGTTGAGCTGCCACCAGGAACATAAAAACTCCCAATCTATGTTTACATGTGAATAAACCACTTAAACACTCAATTGCACAATAACCACGATGCCTGCGGACACTGTATTTGACTCTACCGATAAAGAAACTCTTCGGCCTAACGAGGATCCAATTTCTAAGCAGGGGGCTATGTTTAAACCTATGCAATTGCCCAATTGGGAGTACGAGATGACCTTACTAGTGGACACCTTCCCCGGCGGTCCCATTACATTATTTACTATATAATATATACCTGAAATCGCCGATTTGATAGTTGAAAAGACAAACGACTATGGACGAAAGCCTCAAGACGATTCATGGCCTTACGCACGAGCAAATTAGTGGTTCCCTAGATGTTACAACCCACGTGACTCAAGGGCCATAGGCTCAATACTCGAACGAGTAGCAGGAGACCCTTGGGGAGCGTTCTCTTATGTATCTAGCAGGCTATGCGCTGGGCCGTTGTTGGTTACTAGCGAACCAGGCAATTGTACGGATTACGGGTCACGTCATGAGGATCATTGGATCAGGGGCGACCCAGTGATCCAGGATCGGTGGACCATGAGCGATCCTACGATTCAATGGAACCAAGGTTCTATATAAGATAGGGCTTCCTCCCTTTAGATAGAAGCTTTTGCAATGGGGAGGGATTCTAAAGTCTATCCAAAGAAAAGCATATCACAGATTAGTCAAGGAGCTGAAGAGGTGCATGTTAAGCTAACCAAGCCTGCGAATTGTGTGCGGTAAGGGCTTGAGATTTGGCGACTGGCCTAAAAACGAGTTGCACTAGCTCAAATTGCAGCTAGTAAGAGCAGGGAAAGCTCGAGGCACGAGAGTATATCTGGTTGCAAGCAGTGCAATGTTTATTTATGTAGGAATTATGGGTTTTTTGAGGTATGCCGTAGGGAGAAGTAAGAACTGATACATTTTTGGGGAGGAATTCAGCCCTCTGATTGGCCGGAATTAAGCGAAAATCGCTATGCATGGTCCAGCCCGTTCCTGGTGGCAGCTGAATGGATGTCGATTGGGGGCCGGACTAACCTAAAGTAGAGAGGAACACCAAAAAATCTAGTTTTCCTTTAAGTTTAATTTACTATATAAAGAATTATTATAATTTAATAATTTTTTATATTATAGAAAGCCAGATTATAAGCTAATAAGATATAAAAAATTTGTTATATAATAATTAGTAAATTTAAGAAAATTTAATAAAGGTAATGAAAGTCGTAATTTTTAAGGTATTATAAGAGCCTGAAAATTTAGCGATCAAGCGCTTGGAACTAATTTACCTTGTACGCAATTATTGCCTCGCTTGCTCCATGCCCCAAATTAGAGCTCTTATATATAAATTTCCTTATACTTATATTAGGAAATCTGATTCGAGAGATGGACTTAAGTAAGAACAAGCAACTAATTAGGCATTATTTAAACTCTAAAATCTATTAATGCGTCTAATCGACACCCGGGGGGTGCCGTTTTACATTTTCCTGTAAAAGGAGACTTCAAGCGATACGATAGTGTGTTCTAAAAATTGAGATATCTTCTAGAAGAGAAGCCTAATGCTCGTAAGAAGTTTGTAGGCAAGACTAAGTACTTGTACTGTAGGTACTCCTTAGCGTGAAAGTTAAGCGAGGTTGCTGCCTAAGACTTAAACTAATTTTCCCCTCACAACGGGCCAGGGGGCTCGTTCCAACCTCGACGTCCCGCTCCATCCGTCATCAGAAAATCAACAGAGGCAATGGAGAATCTGCACAACGATTACCCATATTTGCCTTTGGACGCCGCCCAGGATGAAATCCGGCTGTTGGAGCTGCTTCCCAGAGGTTTAGACTCGTCGGCACCTCTTCAAGTACGCCTCATTCATCGGTCCCTAAAGGAATCGCCAAAGTACGATGCACTATCGTATGTTTGTGGGAGCACACTTGATAAGGCTACAATAAGAGTGGACGGTAGCAGAGACTACCCAGTGACTAAAAATCTTGAACGGGCTCTAAGACACGTTAGTCATTTCCAGACTCGTCAGAACGAACTGGTCACAATATGGGCCGACGCGATTTGTATCAATCAACGGAACGTCGAGGAGCGCAATTCCCAGGTCAAGATGATGTGGAGAATATATGCCGCGGCTGAAAATGTCAGAACTTGGCTGGATGTTGAGATTCCACATGCAGTGCTGGGAGGACTCATGCACCTCTGTAAGGATATCCAGTCAGTCGACGATCTAGGCGACGATCCCGGATTCTGGCAACCCATTACCACGATAGTCGAGGATCCATACTGGAGTCGAGTCTGGATCCAACAGGAAATTGCATATGCAAAAGAGCTCTTAATTCACTGTCGTGAGATTCCAGTTTCTCATGCAATTCTTAGTTGGTTCTTTGTGGTTTTGGAAAAGTACATGGATAAGTATAGTCCAATCATGGAACACGGTGTAGCCATCAAATGGAGAAGGCTGGCAGTTGGATCTGGCCCATTTCAGAAAAGCAAGTCTGCCCGTGTCACAAATCCACGATGCTATAAAAACATATACGACTCTTTACACTGGACGAGTCACCTGAAAGCAACCGATATTAGGGACAGGATATATGGGCTGCTAGCGCTGGTTGAAGATGATGTTGAGGACATCGAAGTGAACTATGGGCTCCCAGTCTCAGAGGTTTATTGTCAAGTGGTTCAAGTCCTTATTCAGAATCACCACTCCTTGGCATTTCTGAATTTTGCGGGCCTGAATGTTTCGCAAAACGATTCTGATCTACCAACCTGGTTGCCATATCCTAGGGGCCATCCCACCGGGGTACTCAGTTCTAAGAGTGATGAGGGGTCAAGCTGTTTCTCTTGGCTTCAGTCTCTCCATGCCGATATCTGCCATAGCACTGCCATTTTACCTTCCCTTTCCACGGATCATGAATCTTTGTATGTTCATGGCATGTATATCTCTAAAATCGGAGATGTGTGCCGAACTATGAGTTGGCAGGGTGTGCACAACTTTGGAAAGTTCCTGCAGGCATGGGACGAATATCTCAACAAATGGACTGCCATAAACAGCGAAAGAGATAGCTCGCTCACAAGAATAGATGCTATGCGATCATTCGTCTCCCTCATGCATATTTGCAGGACAACAGAAGCTGTCAGTCGTTTCGCGGACACCGACAAGCTGGCTCGATTTGAGCAACTTTTCCCTGTAGCCCTTGCAGAGCAACTAAAAGACAATCCTAATCTCCCGGGGGCCATGCGTCAATTTGACTATGTCATGTGGGGTCTGATGAGCAGAACAATGGCAATTCCTTCACTGAACCGATATTTGGTTCTTACGCAAAACGGCATCATGGGGCTAGCCCCGATGGCAACGATCCCTGGCGATGAGATCTGGATGCTGTTTAGACATCCCATTCCCATAGTGCTTCGACGGGAAAATAAACATTTCCTTGTGGTGGGACCAGCGTTCATCGACTTTGTGGTGCAAGAAAAGTGGGATGAGGCCATGGCAAAATATGAAGAGGGGGATCAAGATTGTCAAGGTCAGGAGATTCGATGTATTTGTCTAAGGTAGGAAGTTGCTCAGCAGGAGCTGCTTGGTTGGTTTACTTGGGGTTAGGAGAGCATCAAAATGTTCTGAATTTCGATGGAACAGTGGAATACAGTGTCTTGGATTACCTCATAAAATGAACCATGAAATTGAGTCTAGGCAGAAGTGGTATTACAGGACTAGAAATCCAATCTACACTCAATATTGCAGTGCACAAATCCCTCCTGGACCAATCAAGCATTGTGTGTATCTATGTCTTACCCTTGTCCTTGTCATCACCTTGTCCTTGTCATCACCTTGTCCTTCAATAACCTTCTCCTCAGCAGGATCCTCTATCAATGGGAAGGCCTGGCTGGCAAATGGATTCTTTGGTGCGTCGGTGGGCTTGGTCTTTGGCTTCGGTTTCGTGATGCCGTGGCTCTCCGTCTTTCTAGTCGGGGGCTTCGACTTTGACTTGGGGGGTACTGGGTTCTTCAACGTCGTACGAGAGCGTGTGATTCTTCTGGCTGTTGAAGTGCGATTGACCAAAGTACGCGGCTTTCGGTCACCTGAACCCTTGGGTGTCTCATCGCCATCGCCATCAGAATTAAAATCATCACGATCCAAATCGTTATCTTGGCAGCCTCCAGAAAACGGAGGAACTCCCCGGTTGTTCTTAGGGTTCTTCACAGGATCTGACTCGCTGCCTGGGTCAATCTTACGGGGGGATTCGGTAAAATGGTTTGCATCTGTCATCTCCGTATCGTTATCCTCATTCTTGTTTTCCAAGACCTCCATGCCCATGTCTTCCTCTATTAGCTTTTGTGTCTCCTCCCCATCTTCTGCATTATGTGAAAATTGATGTTTTGGTGGTTCAAATCCTCCAACAGCTGCTTGTGCCAGGGCTAGAAGATCCTCCGGACGCGATTCGTCTAGACTCTGCTGGATTGCAACTTCTATGAGGGCATCGTAGAGAGCATCAACTTGCTCTGGAGAAGGTCCATCGCTTTTAAGACGTGAAAAAGCGGGTGAGGGAGTCGTAGATGGAGGATTATTTGGCTTCTCCATAACGTCTGCGAAGAAGTCAATATTCGTCGTCGAACTATCATGCTTGAGACATCATGCAACCGCTTCAATGGTGTAGAGCCTTTGTTATGACCAGGGGCATTGTCTGAAACAGTCTCATTTCTGTTGACTGTGTTCAGTGATGAGTTATTGTTGGTGGAAAATTTGTGAAGGGTTGCATTGGAAATCGTGGGATCGTTCACCAAGGTTGGCTGGTTGGAGGTGGCTGTGGCAGGAGGCGGGTGAGGCAACTGCAATGCTGGCTTTGGATTTCCGTTCCGCCAGCAATTTGTCATTGCAGCTACTTCTGGGAAAAGGATAAGGTGGGCATACAGGTCGTTCCAAGACTTCAGTGCAATTTAATCCGCCTCTTCTGCCTCCTTCGGAGTAATATGGACAAAGTTGATGCTGAAACAAAGTTCAGGGGCAAGGGTATATTGCTGAACTACATCGAAAGAAAGGATTTCTGACAACAAATTCCTCGCAGCCCTGGCTACGTCATAACGTAAAACTATGTTTAGTGGCTTCCTGCACTGGAGAGGATTAATAGTGTAAAGGGATCGCTCCATTACTTCTTGCGTTCCTCGAGCTTCGGTATTCTTTTGACAAAGCTTGAACCTGATCGGTGGTATTCTATAAGAATTAGCCTTTGAAAACCAATAGCGCTAGTCTCTGCGTCAGATGCTTGCCTTGAGACCATCCTGCATGTGCCGCAGAAGGATTTCGTAACATGGATACCACTTCGCAACCAGGCCACGATCTTCCTTTGTTCTGGAGCACTGTGTTCTCTGAAGGTCATTAATGATGGCAGTGCCATTCCTCGTAGATATATTCAATCTACTGGCATTTGCTTGTTGCATCCAAGCACATGTCGCATAGTTCTCAGCCTCCAATGTAGACTGAGTAAGTCGTCGAGATGCCGGTTGCTGGGGTTGGGGTTGAGGATCCATTCCATTGTACTTAAAAACTCTAGGAGATTCGATTCCGAATGTTCCAGCACGACTGTGTACAATCGCCTGCGAAGACTTCGTGACTTGAGTTGCTGCGGTTGCCTTGACGCGTTTGTTGTGGTCGATAGCAGGAATTGGCCGAGTACGAGCAAATAATTGTGGGCGGGGCTATCCGCTGCGCTCTGTTTGTAGCCAAAGTGCGGTTCTGCAGTACCTCAAAACTTCGTGAATAGGGGGGGTTAGCGGCGCACGGACCATCAAAACAACAAAGACCTTTCTGCTGATGTCAAATTATGTTCGCGGATGGCTGGGACGAATAGTATTTAGTAGGATTGGAAGAAAGAGCCTCAGCGGCTTTTGGAATCTGTTTTACAGCACATTTTTCAAATCCCCCATGGGTGCTCTTTTAGAATATTCTATTGCTCACATCGTGCAGGCTCTGAAAAAGGCCTCGCATCTGCTAAGATTATCTACGACACTCAGATTAATAGTCTGCTCTTGATATTACTCGTTAAGCAGTGTGGCGACTTGGACTCTTGAAAGAAGTGTTGAAAGCTAACGATTTTTAGGTCCACCTGAGGCATGGGCTCTATTCCGAAACACCTTCTTGCAATTCGATCCTTGCTTCTAATCGATGGGCTCTACCGGAAAGCAGCTTCATTCTGGCCAAAATAGACGCGTCCCAACCTCCCTCAAAAGAGAGAAAAATCGGACATAAAATCGATAAGAAAATTTCTAGAGGCAGAAGAGGTGGCAAGGATGCAGACGATTGGTTCTTTGATTTCATGGGGACTCTCAACGCCACAATCAGCTGGAGACTAGGTTAGAGCCTGGCAATCTCTTTGCTTTTCTGTTCCGTTGAGAGTTCCGAAAGGCAACAAAGCCTGATTCTATCACTAATTTTCAGAACATAATTAACGGCTCCTCTTATTGATCTTTCCCTTATCTGCTCCTCGCTTCGTTGCCTCAGGTAAGGCGGTGGTAGCCGAAGCCGGCTTACAAGTCCCATCTTCGCTCCACAACCTCCTGATCCTCAACCGCTCTACGGTATCTAACCAGAAACTGGCGCTCTCACTCATCCCAACGGGTTCGGACTCTTCAGCTAAATCTATAATACAGCACCTACGAGAAGTCGTCTCAATGCGCACCACGCGTGGTTGTTGTCCCGGCTGGTCAAGGCTTTGTGTTCACCAAGGGCTCCAATGCTCTCTCCCATGCTGATCCTCCATCGCCTGTCACCGCCAAAGAGAGCCAAAGAGGTATTAGAGGAAGATGGCAAGATGGATTGAGGACAGGTTGAGAAAGTAGGCGGCAAACCATTCTCTGTTCTTCAGATGTCATGGTTGAATTAGACAGCAAGCAGGTTTGTGCACCAATTTATTTGGACGAATACTGATACTGATGTTAGGACTGGCGATTCAGGAACAGCCCGCTTGTGATTGCCAAGTCAAAAATTCGATTCTTCCCTCAACAATACCGCGCTCCGAATTCCTGTCCAAAGATGCCACTCTCTACGCCGGCCGGAACAGTGGGCCCAGCAAGAAGTTAGCCACCACACATACTCATTCCGATAACCAAAATCCGTCGTTCTACTCCCCATAGAAGACGTTCGAGATCGAAAAGCCAGACCATATTGAGAGAAATTCAAGACTGGGGAAGATCTCGAACGTTGTCTGGTAATATCGCCCGCCACTTCTGCTCTTCTTTGGCGTTGGCAGTTTGAGGGTATCATGGCATCCTTCGGGCCCCAATAGCTGCGCTCTTGCTCAAATACATCCGAAGACATCACTTCTGCCCTCTTCGGAACTGGCAAGCTCGACTCTACCGAGCCTTTGTTAACTGGGCGGGAGATCTGCAAATTCAGCAAGTCGAAGACAAGCTGGGCCGGGGTACACATTGGGCTTTGAGGGAGTTCTCGAATCTACGTTTCCAACTTCAAACCATACAGTTCCAGTTTGTGGGCACCGAGCAGAAGGGTGACTTCTTGAAGGGTTTCTTCCTCTCTCAGATGAGGATTATGCGGAGCAATCATGATTCGAGCAACCGAGGCGATTTGACCTCATGGACAAAGTCATCAGCTCACACGAGCAAGAAGACACTTCTAAATGTTCGAGCTGATGGTGTTGCAGAGCCTCATACGAAAGATTGGTTGTCAAAACGTTGGCTTTGGCAGTCAAGTAGCATTGATGTGCCCCTCAAATATAGAGAGGGTGAGAGGCTCCGAGCCCAGAAAGAGGCGGTGGCTGTACTGGAGCGTGAAAGTATGCCTCTACATAGATGGGGTGCAAGCATACTTAAGGACGCTGATGGCCTAAGAAACACGGTTCTCCCCTTCAGAAGGAGCGCTCTCATCCCAAACTAATGGGAACCAGATCACACACCTGTCTCAACCCTAACCATCACCATTTCTTCTATTTCGACTTATGTTCTCCTCCCAAGGTAAGGGTTGAGTATCTAGCAAAGCATCCGAGTTTTGCTCTGCATGAAGAATCGTTTTATCTAGATTAATAAACTAACATTGACTGCTGGCAGCCGATAAGATGAATCTCCGGTGGTTTCTCGCGCTCCTGGTGCTCTTGTTCTTCTCACCCAAGGTAAGTTGAAGAATTAGCCATTGTCAAGGAAGTTTTTGTTGGCAAATTTGCAGCCACTCCTGAATCCACTACCGGATACTCGGAGCCTGGCATCAATGTGGCCATTATGCATGCCCTGAGCAATCCGTTTAGTTCCGGTTCTCTCACCGTCACAAACCAACACATCCGCCTCGCTCTCAACCCGACCCCTCCGCAACCTCCTCACTCGGAAATCAGCTCACTGAGGGTCTGTTGGCTACGAACGCTCAGTGGTCATCGTCTCTGTTGCTATCGACGTCGAGGCACAGCCAGATCTTGAGATATTGCTTGATTCGGAAACTTCAATCCCATGGACAACTACAACAACGACTCGCCGCATTGTCAACGTGTCGATCCTCCAGAAGCCAGACTTACCCGCGACTTCGGATTCGACCATGCAACTCAATATAAGGATAAACAACTGTATTATGGCTATAGCTCAATCTCAAGGCCAGAGTGATGACTCCGAGGGTTACCGAACGCTGCTAAACTTATCTACTCCTGAGCGCACTCATACTAAGTAGCTTATTCTTCATATTGCTACTCTTAATGAACATTACGTACCTGGTCCAGCTCACGAGGTCCTGATGATTAGCAGCCTGGCCATATCAATGGACAGAATTCCGTAGCCCAGCGTCACCCCAGCTTCTTCTCTCACCCAGTCCAAACCCAGTCAACAAAACCACCAGCAGATTAAACATCGCTCTCCATGGCTCGATCTTGAACGACCTCAATACCACTGTCTCTCATGTCCACTCCGTCCCCAAGGCCTCGAGCGCTTCCTCCTTTCTCTCTTTCTCTCTCCTCATGGTTACCCACCCACGGTTCCCGACAGCACCCTGAATGATCCTGGATCTATTTGAGTCTCTGTTGTCCCATATCCAAGTAAAATACAGCACGAGAAACGCTGTCTGCAAAATCTGCAACTTTTAAGCCCTCATGCCACTCTCGCCACACATGGAGTTACCGATACACCCAAATTTACCGGCGATACCTTTGCTATCACACCGAAGACAGATGAACTTACTAGAGCAAAGTGATCAAGCGGTTTGCTGTTGGTCTCAAGAAAGCTTCCACGTTTTGGCTTCGGCTTTCGCAAGGGGAAGATTGCGGTTGAACACCACTTCTCACTTCGGAAAGAGAGCTCTGCTTCAGATCCTCGAAATTGTAGTTTATCTCTAAAGAGCATATACCACAGCCGCCTTTCTTGCCGTTTCAATACCAAATAGGGCGTTTAACACCTTCTTTTGACAGTCCTCGAACCTTGCATAACACGTTGCAGCAGCGGCTGCTCAGGCGTATGTATTGCAAGCCATCAATCTTACACATGCCTAATCTTCTAGCAGCTTCTCTAGCAAAACTAACATCCTTGAGCCAAAGACTCCTGCGACAAGGAGAGTTGGCACAGTATGCAGCAAACTTCTCAAAGAATCAAGGCATTGGAGAAGGTGGGAGAGTGTGGGCGGGACAGCTTCCGGATCTTCTCCAGTCTTGAACCCGACGTCTGCAATCTGTATTCCCTCCCTTTCACCGAAACTTACACCACTTTTCTGTTAATTCGACCTCTGCCTATATCATCGGTAATGGCATATCCAATTCTCAGCGTGAGTCAACCTCTTCTCCTGTAATCTCCTCATTGAGCTCTTTGGGCCACAGATGCAAGCTTCACTGGTCTTGTCGTTATCCTTCCCGACTCAACTCATGCCATCGCCGCTTCTGTCGTTTCCACCTCTGCCTCCACTTCAGTTCCTACTCACGTTGACCCAACCACGACAACATGGCCCGATGGTTGCAGCTACCAGATGGTATTTCTCATTTAATTTAACAATGGGTGCACTGCACCTCCTCAAGAACAATCAGCTATAGTTGTCAGCGCATCCGGAAACACGATCTGAGTGCCTCACTTTGTTGATGGGATCCCTAGAGGGTTATCGACAGCGTGATTATCAAATTTGGTCGAGGTCTCCGCCATTCACAATGGCAGCGATCACTGGAGTAGGTTGGTCAAGCATGCTGCCCGAATTTGGAGAATGCCATGATTGCCAATTCGGGTGCTGTCTGGTGCCTTTACAGCAAGTACTGTTACCAAGAAATTCTGGCGAATGTCACGCAAACCTTATTCGCAAGGATGTCGAGATATAAAGCATCATTGAACTTTTCATGATGCTCGAGCAAAGCCCGCTGAGCACGAAGAGGTTCCTCTCATTTCCCGAGGCGGTTTGCATGTGATTCCAGTGGATTCTTCAACTGAGCGTCGAAGCCAAGAAACTTGCACTTGCATCAAGCTTTGGTTGCAGTGGAAAGCCGGGATGTTTCAGTACGTACTGTACCCATAATAGCTCGCGGTTGGCCTTGACTCAGGCTCGGCAACGATTGGCGTTTTGCACTATTGATAATAATCGATACCATAATCGTAAGGTATTAATTATATTAATAGTACAATCGATTATTTAGCGAGCTAATCCCTATATACGTACGATTTTACCCCTTTTCTAATTCCAGAAGGTTCAGAAGTTTAGTAAAGTACTATACTATATATAATAAAGGAAAGGCTCTCTATTATTTACCTATTTAAAGAAAGTATCTAGAATTCCAGTCCTTTTCCAGTACTTAAGGCACTCCCGCATCTCAATTATCTCGGCTTCTAGCTATCCCCTATCCCAGCTTACCATACGACGAGCCCCTGAAAAGACTCTCTCTGGTTTATTACTTATTAGTACTATTAAGAGGATATTAATAGCCATACGAGAGAGCTTAGGCCAGCGTTACCTTTGCATATCTTGGCACTACTATGCAAGGGCCCCCTTTTTACCAGAATCATACGATTCCTCTATATTAAAGTCTATATACTCGTCCCTACTTACTGGTCTAGTAACTAATTAAAGGGCTAAGGCAAGCCGATTATAAGTATCGAGTGCTTCTGGCTCCTGAGAAGAGCTAGTAGTTAGAATAATTAGAGCTTGTGGCCCCTCGTCCCAATACCTTTCCCAGAGCTTTTTTACCCTTAGTAGAACTAGCTTTATTTACTTCTTTGGCCAGTACGTTTCAATATATCTCGTATGGTATATAGGGTTCAGAATTAAAGTAGTAGTATAAATAAGAGACATATCTATCTTTATATAGTACTTATTAAATACTATATATATAATATTCAGGTATTAAAAGAAATCTTGGCTCTTTTTATTCTTTTTCTTTTTATATTTAGTCTATAAAAGTTAATTAAGTAAAGAGAAAGAAGAAAGGAGAGAAAGAAAGGAAAAGAAGTAAGCTTATAGTTATTTCTTATAAGTATTTAATTAAAATATCTATTATAAAGAGTATAGTATTAATAAATATAGAATCTCTCTCTATAGCAAAAGTAGCTTATAAGAAGGAACTAAGGAATTCCTTAATTATATAAAGCTTTTTCTAGTCTTAGTAACTTAAAAGATCTAGTTCCAGCTTTTTCTTATAGTTCTGGTAATACTTTTCTACTATAGGCCTTAAATTAAGAAGTATAAAAAGTATATTATACTAGCTATTCTACCTTATTTAATTATCTATTAGAATTAGCCTTTTTATAAGAGCTTTAAAGGCTGCCATATAGCCTGGTAATCTATAAATATAAATAATAATATTATACGCTTAGCTAAGTAGTTCCAAGAGCCTAAACTTGGCCCTAATTATTTCCTTATCCGCAAGCTCTCTAGTTTCTTTCTGGCCATTATATAATTTAAGCTTTTCTGCTCTAATTATATCTATAAATAGGAAGGCTTAAATAATAAGATTAATAATATGGCTAATATAGCGAACTTACTATTTCTTTATATTTTACTTCCTATTATATAACTTTACTAAAAAGGCTTGAATATATTAATAAAAAATATTATTTAAGGAAATATTATTAGTAATAATAGCCCTAAGCTTTTATATAATACCGTAATCCTCAAGAATAGAATAAAGAATAGAGAACTAGTTCTCTTTATTATAGCTAGATATTCTCTAGAAAGTAAGAAGAGCTTTTTGCTTCTTATAATTATATATAGTAAAGTATATATAAACTACTAGAAAAAGTAATTAATTTAGGGAGATCCAAATATCGAGCGAAATATGGATAAGTAAGATTACTAATTAAAGGGTCTTTTATATAATAATCTTATACTTTCTCTAAGCTTCTTTAACTTTATTATAAACTCTAGAATAAGAGGTTATAATCTTGCTCTTATAAGCTCGATTTAGAATTTGGCAAAAGGTATAAAATTCCGGCTATTTAATAAGACTAAAAGACAGATTCCGTATAATAATTAGAGAGATTAGAGCTTTAGTAATAACTACTATATTAAGGCAGGCTCCAAGGACCTTATTATTAAACTCTTTAATCCTATTTCCCTCCTTAGCTTAAGCTTTATACCAGAGTTATTTGAGTTACTAGTTTATAATAATTTGGCTCTTACTTTTAGCCTTTAATATTATAATTTAGTAGTAGCGGCTTAAATAATCCCCTATATTTCTTAATATTCATATATTATATGGCTCAGTTTTATAAAGGGTATAATAAAGAATGTCTTACTTAAGATTATCTGGAGTAGGAATATAATAAAATTCCTAATAAGGTGCTCTTAACTTTGATATATCTAGAGTACTTGGAGTGGAATCTACTAAAACTAATTATGTAAATAATAAATCTGGTTTAAATAAAGAAGACATTTTGATAATATCTTTGGAAAAAAATTAGTGTACGAGGCAGGGAAAATAGAGAGAAGAAGAGAGAGAGAGAGAAGAAAAAAATGGGGGGATACAGGGTAAAAGCGGTAGAATAATCATTTAGTAATCGATTACTAATCGATTACTCAGCAATCGTTGCCGAGCCTGCCTTGACTAACAGACTTAAAGGGAAGCCAACCTTAACGAATCGGCTGAGACTGTTCATCATTGGGACCAGGAACAACGCTCCCAGACTTCGGCCTCGGACTATGTATATGATCCAGGTAGAAACTCTCTGCCACCACCTGTTCCGCAAACCACTGAGTCGCCGCAGGTTCAAGCTCTCTATTGCCTTCGCCGTTAGTTCTTTCGGACGACAACGATGGCGCCAAGCAAATTAATGATGATACTGGAGCGCAAGACAATGGCATTGCTAAACATGGTGAAGCATGGGTCCGAGCCCATGGAGGTCATCGAGAGTCGCGATCAAGAGGACAAGGAGTGTGAGCATGCCAGTGCTGAGAAGGTCGAAAAGAGCCGAGTAGCGCATACGATGGAGAGAAGAACGCTTTTGATGAAGCCAGGGAGCAGTCTCGACTCACCAGACAACTGCCAATACAAGCCTTGCGTTACTTTGCAGAACTTGGCTGGACTCACAAGTGTGAAATCTCAGATAGACAGAAGTACCTCGATCTCGCTGGCGTTGGTCAATATCCTGGATTCCGCGCCTTCGAAAGTCATAATTTAGCTGTGACAAGCCAACCCGGTCGGGGAACCCTGTTATAACTTTCATACTTTCTCTCTCATTTCATAATCGTAAGTCTTATTAGTAATGAATAAT